CCGGCAGCTGCCCCACAGAGGAGCCTCCCTATTCTGCACATTCTGGAGCTGATCTTCAAGCTGCTGGAACCTGGAGAAGACTGAGCTCTCTAGACAGCTCTTAGGATCTCCAGGGTTTGAAGTGCCAGACTTTCCACAGCAGCACTGTCATGAGTCATGCCTTCAATAACTGGAAGAGAAAAGAACAGAGCCAAGGTCAGAGAGCAGATCTCTGGCGAGCCAAGAAGCCCCTCCTGCCAGGACCATCCCATCCAACTCTTGCCATGGCCATGAGGGAGCAGAGCCCAACAGGATCAGTCGGGAGGTGCTGGCCACCAATACCCCCCTGTGCCCCTGAAATCTCTCTCTGCTCTGCCCAAGCCGTTCCTCACCTCTGCAGGGAGCAGAGCCCTCCACAGCCGAGGCAGGATTGCAGCTCCCTGCCCGGGCTCTGTGCTCCCCTCACCAGCCCCCACTGCCCTCACTCACCCTCAATGACGATCTGCAGCTGGAGCTGATGTCCCTTCAGGTACCTTCCGGCCATCCCTGGGAACACAGATGCTGTCAGGGCCCCAGCGGCACAGCTCCCCCCCGGCGGTGCTGCCGGCCCGGCCACACGCCCTCCTGCCCTGGCAGGGCTGAGCCCGGGGCCTTCCCGCCTCGGGACGCCCCAGGGCTGGGCTGGCACAGGGCGGCAGCAGCCGCCAGGGCACTCGGGGCTCCACAGCACATCCCGGGGCCGCATCCTGCTGCCGCTGCAGCAGCCGGGGCTGGGGCCGAGCTGCAGTGGGGCGGGGAGGGAACTTGTGGCTCACCCATGAACTTGAGGGCCGCCTCTCGCAGGGGCTGCTGTGGGTTCTTCAAGTACGGCAGGGCCTGGTGCACGTACTGGACCACTTGGCTCCGGTCCTTTTTCAGCTGCAGAGAGAGGCAGGGCACAGAGGGAAGGGTTGGCTGGGGCTCTGCCCCTTGGCCGGGCGCTGCCTGCGCCCAGCACTGGCCTCCCCTGCCCGCACGCCCCAGGCAAGGCAGCGGCGGGTGGGGCGCAGGCTGCTGTCCCACAGGCGGCTGCAGCGGTGGGCAGGGACACAGTGCCAGCCCCGCACTCTGGGCATCGGGGACTGGGGCTGTGGGGCCGTCCTTACCAGGCACTTACTGAACCTCCAAGGCTGCTCTGCCTTCAGCAGCTTCACAAGATCTCTCCTCTTCAGAAACCGCGCCGCACGAAGCAGCGCTTCCCGAGAGGCCTGCAGAGCAACAGAGACCAGGACATGGCATGGCAGCCCAGGGCACAGGACCCGTGCCCCTGGACCAAGGCCAGGAGGAGACTGGAGCCTTTGAGGTGCCAGGGTAGGAGACAGCCCAGCCCACTCCCACGGGGACACCAGACCCTGCAAGTTCTCACTTCTGCCACATCCTGGTTCTCATTATGCCATTGGAAAAAAAGTGGGAGCAGGCTGTAGATCACTTGGGTCTTCAGGAGTTTTTTACTCTCCTCCACTGCCAACTCCATCACCTTTTGGAAGAGGGAAATGGAGAGCAGCTGCACGTGGATGTTGTCCTGATGGAAAGGAAGAGGAAAAGACCTCAGCACCAGCTGCTCCAGGCCTGCCGGGGCACAAGCCTGCAAATCCACAGGCCACAGTTTCCTGGCAGCAGCCAGCGCCTGGGGTGGGGGGCACAGAGCCTTACGTGGCCAAAGAGTGGCTGGAGCATCTCCGCCAGCTGCAGGGCAGTGGGGGTGGAGATTGGGATGTCTCTGTCCTGGATTTCATTCATGAGTACAGAGAGGGCCATCCTGACCAGCTCTCCGTCTGTATCCCACAGTAGGTCCACGAGGTTTGGTGTCAGGCTCCGCATGCCGTCAGCCTGTGTGGAACACAATGCTGTGCTGTGAAGCCACGAAGCATGGAATCCTAGAATATCCCGAGTTGGAAGTGACCCACAAGGATCATTGAGTCCAACTCCTGGCCCTGCACAGGACCAAGCCCAACAATGCCATGGTGTCCCTGAGAGTGTTGTCCTTGAGCTCTGGCAGCCTTGGGGCTGTGAGCTCTCCCCAGTGGGGCTTGTTCCAGTGTCAGAGCACCCTGTGAGTGAAGAACCTTTCCCTACTACCCAACCTAAACCTCCCCTTGGCCCAGCCAAGCCCAAGCCATTGCGCTCCCCAGCCCCAGGCTGCCGGCACAGCTTCAGCCAATTGCCCCCTCCTCACCATCACAGGATTCTTGCTCAGCACCACGAGGCCTCTGAGCACCAGGCGACGCATCTCTGTGCGCTTGCTCCGCAGGCACCTTGAAAAGATCTTCACCAAGGTGTCACCCCATTCAGTGGTGTTCAGGCAGTCCAGGACCTGAAAGGCAGGGAGCAGTGATGGGGTGCCCGGCCGGCAGGAGCCCAGAGCCGCAGCGGGCTGGGCCCAGGCAGCAGCACAGGGCGCGGCACCGTCCCGGGCAGCTGCGGCTG